TATATATATATATATATAATATATATATATATATATATATATATATATATGTATATATATATACAAACCAATTATCTGTTAATTACATTTTATATTGATTACAATAGAATTTAATTCCTTGTAATTTAATTAGGTTAATATTTATTTTAATGTATAAATGTTTCGTTTTTCTTTCTTTTCTTTAGAGGTACCTTAACATACGGATTCCGTTCCGCGATATCGGACATGAACGGAATTGGAATTATTTCATTTTGATTATTTCAATTCTAATAATATTTATCGGAATTTAACCTACCATTAAAGAACTATTAATGCAAGTTATTTTGAATGGTTTGAAATTCAATGTTTTGCCATTAACAATAGGCCAATATTGAATTGTTTCCTGATTTTTCTGATATACATCCGGATAAAAACGTTCCTCATATGGAAAATTCAACGAAATTATCGTTTTTACATTTTCCTAAATTCTATTAATGCATGATAAATTCAGAAATTTCGACCAGAGAAAAAGGAAAAAAAAATCTAAGTATAATTCTAAAAATTTGATTTGATAAAATTAGAAAAATTAAAAATACGTGTGTTTAAAATTTTGTTTTTCTTTTAAATTTAAAGCATTTTAAAATTTTCATGTTAATTTTTTAAGGATAAATTTTACTAATTTCCTTTTTATTTTATTTTGCTAAAAATAAATTCATGTAATTTTTTTTTTTTTTAATCTTGATCAAGTATTATTTAGAATGTTATAATTTTAATAAATATATATTTAAACTATAATTATTAAATCATTCATTTACCTGCCAAACAAGGGTCCAAAAATCATAAACTGTAATCAGATTAGGCCCATTACATGCAAGATATATTCTACCATCTTGACGTGTAATACGTTGCGCATTTACCTGCAATACAATCTCATTTACCTGTCTAACATGATCATGTAATTATTTTAAAAAAAAAGTAATTACTGTAAATTTTCAAAACACCAAATTTAAGTCTAATATAATTTTTTTATTACCAGTTTTTGAGGAAAATTTCCTTTTTTTTCTTATTAAAATTTCTTTTTCTTTTGAAAAAAATGATTTCTTCATTTTATTAATTTCATCAATTAAAAAATCAAAAAAAATTTAGTAATTCTTTTCGAATAATTCTTTTTTTGACTAAAAATAAGGTTTTTTTTCTTTTATACGAAAAATTTTATTATTTTTGATAAGAATTAATTCCTTTCTAACATATTCCTTAATATTTCTTTATATATTTATACATTCAAATATAAATTTTCACTTAATTAAAATTATGATACATTCAATTTTCTTTTTTTATGCTTTTATTTTTTTATACATATTTATATATTATCACATAAATCAAAATAAAAAAAAAAAAAAAAAAAAATGATATAACTTATTGATACGTGTAATAATGATTCAATGAATATGCGGAATATGTATAATCAATTATCAGTTAAGCATACTAAGCAAGATATTTAACCTCTATATTCTTATCCAACAATTACAAACAATCTTTCATTATTTATTATTCAATTAAAAAAGATAAGATTTTTTAAATTATCTATTTTTCAAATATATTTGATTAAAATTACGGTATTATCGTAAATACATTTGATTAAAATTACGGTATTATCGTACTTTTAATGTTCGTGATACGCTTCCATTGAATAATGAACATTGAATAAAATTAAAAGCATTATGTTTATCATGATGAATAGATGATAACCAATTATTATTTGTGTTATATTCTAACATTTCAAATTCTTTGCATAATGATTGATAAGCATCAGATATTGAAAAACGTGTTAAAAACCAATATCCCACCTATTATTTTAATAATGATAATAATAACGTTTTCTTTTTTCTTCCTTTTAAAAATCAATAAGTAAAAAATTAAAGAGAAGAAATGTGATTAATTAATTAATTGTACTTAATACTGAAAGTATTCCGGAATACAATGTATATTTTCCGGTATGTAACACATATTAGAACATGAAGGAAAAAAAAAAAGATTTAAGTAAATGCATCATTTGGCATAATTGATACTAAATAACTAAATATAACACAATTCATTTTTTTTTTTTTTACAAATTAGGATGAATTAAATTTATAAGTATGAAATTTTAAATGAATATTTATAAGATAAACATTTTTGTTGGAATATAACCTTCATATCTTTGTGAATAATTGAACTCATTTTTTGCTTTCTCAATTGATTCGATTCAATTTCATTTTTAATCATATTTAATAATGGCTTGCTAAAGAATACAATAGGCATCAAAATCCAAACAATATATTGTACATTTATTATAATTTATCTCAGTTAAAATTATCGAATCCTTTTGATAAACTGAAAAAAAAAAAAAAAAA